GGAGCGTGAGTAGTCGTTTATACCCTCTAGTGCGAGGAGAACATATGTATCATATTGGCTAGATTATGAAATGCTGTGATGTTTTATTTATACGTTTATTTATATGTGTATTATATGCTTAATGCGTGATATAGTGATGTGTATAATTCTGGTGCTGTGCCTTGGATTATATCATCAGTTTATCATAAGACCCGCCGGTTAAACAACCACGGCGTTTCTATCGGTATGGCTTGTCCTTCTGGGTTACTAGGGTTGATTATTATGATACATAACTATTATGACAGTCTAACAACCACGATGTGTCTTATCGGTATGACTTTGCTTCCACCGGAATGTTGAGGATGTTTAACTGGCCCATTTATACCCAGTGTAGCCTAAGAAGTAGCTGTGTCATAATATATTTCCACCAGTGTAGTCTAAGAAGCGGTTGTGTTATGGTTTATATATATGCATTTGCAATCATGAGATCAAATGAATAGCTCAAGTATTCCTTATGAATGGCTTGTCCTTTCTGGTTTGCTTGGGTTAATCAGTTGACATAGATATAACCGGTGTAGCCTAAGAAGCAGCTGTGTTATAATATATTACCACCAATGTAGCCTAAGAAGCAGTTGTGTTATGGTTTATATACATCAGACTTGTCGGTTGACTTTCCACTAACATGAGAGTTAATTGTTGGGGTAGCATTTCCAGAATTTAATCGATATAAAGCATATGGTATCCTTAAGCTGAAGGGTATCTTTCATATTTATGTCATTAATCTGCTTTATTTACGCACTTTATTATCTCTGCACTTTATTTCCGCATTGCTTTTATTTAAAATAAACTAGTTATCAATCTAAGCTCACATCACAAGCTATCAAACATCACACTATTCAAACAACTATTTTACTGTTTTAACTTTTTATTTTTATTTTCAACAAGAATTACTAAACTCTCTGTGGGATCGATACTTGGACTTAAAACTGAGAAAACTACAATTTGACCACTTATACTTGGGTGTATAATATAATATAATTCAGATCACTAAAAAGTGCGAATCAAGTTTTTGGCGTTGTATAGTGGTAAGTATTCTCACCTATCACGCGGGTGACCCGAGTTTGATCCCCGGCAATGACGCCAAAAACTTGATTCACATTTTTTAGTGATCTGAATTATATTATATTATACACCCAAGTATAAGTGGTCAAATTGTAGTTTTATCAATTTTAAGTCCAAGTATCAATCCCACAGAGAGTTTAGTAATTCTTGTTGAAAATAAAAATAAAAAGTTAAAACAGTAAAATAGTTGTTTAAAGTAGTGTGATGTTTGATAGCTTGTGATGTGAGCTTAGATTGATAACTAGTTTATTTAAATAAAAGTAATGCGGAAATAAAGTGCAGAGATAATAAAGTGCGTAAATTAAACAGATTAATGACAGAAATATGAAAGATACCCTTCAGCTTAAGGATACCATATGCTTTATATTTGTTAAATTCTGAAAATGCTACCTCACAACAATTAACTCCCATGTTATTGGAAAGTCAACTGACAGGTTTGATGTATATAAACTATAACACAGCTGCTTCTTAGGCTACACTGGTAGTAATAAATTAAATACAACTGCTTCTTAAGCTACACCGGTTATATTATGTCAACTGATTAACCCAAGCAAACCAGAAGGACAAGTCATTCATGAGGAATACTTAAGTTATTCATTTGATCTCATGATTGCAAGTGCATCTATATGAACCATAATACAGCCGCTTCTTAGGCTACACTGGTGTTAATATATTATAACACAGCTGCTTCTTAGGCTACACTGGGTATAGATGTGCCAGTTAAACATCCTTAATGTTCCGGTGGAAGCAAAGTCATACCGATAGGAACATCGTGATTGTTAGACTGTCATAATAGCTATATATCATAATAATCAACCCTAATAACCCAGAAGGACAAGCCATTCATGAGGATCATTTAGGTTTGTACCACACATCAGTCAACTTCCTTAGCATTTCGGTGGAGGACAAGCCATATCGGTAGAAATGTCGTGGTTGTTTAACCGGCGGGTCTTATGATATACTAATGATATAATCCAAGGCATATCACCGGAATTATACACATTACTATATCACGCATTAAGCATATAATACATATAGAAATAAACGTATAAATAAAACATCAACATTTTCATAATTTTGTCAATATGATACATATGTTCTCCTCGCACTGGAGGGTATAAACGACTACTCACGCTCCATTGCTACAGACAAGCAAGGAGTGCGGGCAGTTGTCATTACAACTAAAATTAAAATACAGAGTTTGGATTGAAATATAACACCGTCCGGATCGTGTTGCTGATTCTCTTTCTCTTTTTCTCTTTTCTTTCTTTTTTTTTCTCTTTTCTCTCTTTGGATTTCTATTAGGAGCTCGCAGTTGTCCGACCTTCGTTTTGAAGTGAAGAAGGTGCCTATTTATAGTCGTTTAGGAAGCATGAGGTGGAAGAAATCAGGATAATCATCAAGGGTGACCGTCCGGACGGTGGTGCTTTGCTGGAATTTGCAACTTGCATGCATGCTGACTCTTTATTTGATTTAATTACACTTTAGCCTTTATATTTTCAAGCTTCCCTACTTGGCACCTTGTATTTTGTAGTAATTCTGCATTAAACCTGCAATTTTGGATATAAACTATTAAAAATACTAATTACCGTACAAACCCTAATTCATACTAATTACTGATTTTCTGTTGTTTTATTTTATTAATTTGATTTATTTAACTATAATTTACACACTAACTAGGGTTAATCACACCCCCCAACTTAAACTTTACTAGTCCCTAGTAAACATAGATTACAATATAAAACATAAATAGAAGTAAAATTATTTTCGTAGATTTTTTCACGATTGTATTTAGCATATGCAATAAGCCATTAAACCCCTAGGTAATTCCTAGTGGACGAGTTGTGTCTTATGAAGGTTTTCAGTGAAGCTACCTGCAAACTTCAGTAATTAGGATTTCATAATTCATATTTTTCATGAATATAATTAAATCAGTATTCCTTCTGTCTTGCCAGAGTACTTCCTTTTCTGATCACTATATAAGAGTAACATATGTTAGTTGTAATATTATCTATATATTTTTATAAAACAACTGTGTGTGTGTAATAATTTTTTATTTCAAAAAAATCACTTGAGAAAATATTACCTCTTTCGTAGTAGTTTTGATGTCAATCCTTCCCTGAAATACACTCAGTAAGAAGAATACACATGTTATATTGGCTATTCTCAGTAAATTACATGTGATTGGAATATTGTCAATAAAGCAAATAATATCACATGTAGTATTTGAAAGATCGGTTAATTTGAATAAAGTGGAATTTTGACATAATCTCATGAAAAAATATTAACATTTTAAAATATATTATTAACATTTTCCTTTTTAGATTAATAGAAATAATACCAATGCATGATTTCTGGAATCAAAAAGGACTTTCTTAGGATTGTAATGTGGCCATGGGGTTGAGATTTATCAAACGACGTCTATAGAATTCAAAAGCTACCCTTTTTATTGGCACATCTCTTTCTTATTTTTATTTTCACTTTCTTGGTGAGTGCATTTTATGCTCCATATCACTTTTTATTGAACGAGTGCATTTTACGCTCCATCTCTACTCACCACATGTTTTTTTTTTAAAACATCATTTTGATTTAAAAGAGGGTGTAAGAAAATTATGTAGCTAAGGTAGGTTTGATATATTTTCTTATGGCACGGGCATTTTTCGGGATTTTAATGAAAATAATATATCTTTCAGGCTCAACCATGGTTGACTAAGGATATAAGTTTGTAAAATAAATGGTCAAGGCTCAAAGATAATGAAAAAGGTCCTAAGATCATTTCCAGAAATTATCCATCTGTATCATTTCTATCTAAAAGAGTTTCAAGGACAATGCTAATAATATAATTTAACAAATGCTAATCAAGACAAAAATAATGAGATTATTCAAAGAAAGGTTACCGCTGAATCGAATATTTGAGTAGATGTAGAATACCTCTCCAAGATAGATTGGTTCAAAATCTGCATTAGGTTTCTCATCTCCACTATATATGTAAGAGTGTAATATTTCATAAGGTTTTTATCAACAAAGAAATCTATGTGTGCTTCTAAAGATAAGTTTGAACAAAAATATTTAGATACTATACAACTACAATATGAAGATCTCAGTGATCAGATTAAGACTATTCCTGCAAGGTCTCAGAATACTAACTTAATTAAATGTAAATTATATGAACTAGTCTTCCTAATTTTAATATGATAAGTTCTAATTTTAACAAAAGTAAACTTAAACATACCTAAGTTCAAAACTTAACCAATTTAAAACATATATAGGTTTAAGTAACTAAACAAACAAGTGCAAAAGATAATTTAAAGTTCAACTGCATATGTAAAAGTGCATAATTTAAAAGGGTTGAGTGAAAGATGACAAAATTTTATGTAGAATCTTCAGTCTTTATGAAGTGGATGGTCCTCTTCCAAAGTGCTGTCTCAGTAGCTTCAACATTTATGCTTGGTTTTTCATAGTCCTCCATTAATTGGTTCATTTGATTGATGCTGGTACCAAGCTGGGTGATAGTGTTTTCCAATCCTAGTAGAATTTGTTTGTCTGTCCTGTCATCCACTAGAATGTATGGTTGATCTTCTGGTAGCTTTGTTCTGGTGGAATGAATGTTTCAAGAGGTTGGAATGGTTGTTCTTGCGGTTCAGGTGGTGCTTCTTGTTGGGATGTTGGTTGAGCATCTGGTTGTGCTTCTGGCTGAGCTCCATGGCTTTTCTCAATGCAATTTTATCTATTGGTCCATAATGGTCTACCGTCTTCCATATTGGATCAATGATCACCCTGTTGTTCTTGCATAGTTGAGAGACTAGCATAGCTAGGGAAGTGAGAGCTTTTTATCTTCTACAGTCAGTATCATTTGGTCTATAATCAGATTTGGTAGGTCTATGGTATGTCCCATCCCGAATGCATATAAAAAGTAAGCTTGCTCAGTGTAAATTTGATTTTTCTGGGCTCGAGTAACAAGTTGTTCACTGTTATTAAATTCAGGATGCGATATGATCAGTCAAGTCTCCCTGCTTTATGTATTTATTCGGTCTACCCCAACCAAATTCTGGATTACGGTTACCTTCTCCCTATGATATCCAAGTCAGGTAATGTAAGCTTAGTGTATGGGTATTGCGGATTTTCTTCTCTTCGCATGGGTTGAAAGAAGTTGGCTATAATAGCCGGTGTAACATGAAAAACTCTACCCCGTACAAATGCACGTATATGTCTTTCTTCAATTATCTGAGCATTACTGTAGAATTTACGGACTAGGCAGTCATATGCAGGAACACATAATTTAACATAATATAACCAGCCTCTAGCAGCAAGAATTTCTCTAATCTTATGGTATCAAAATCTTCAAACACAACCGGTCTTTCAATGATAATATTTTTCATAAAAAAATTTAGTATCATACCAGTTTTGCTGTTCAATATTTTCAAACATCACCTAGTTGAAGAAGTTTCCTGGTTGTGGTTGCTGTGGAGGTACTTGGGTTGATCCCTTTGTGCTCGTCTTGAAGATCTCCTTGCCTTTTGTCTCGAATCCATTTTTTCTTGAATTTCTTTCAGATACTCCATTTCAGTTGATTTAATAGGTAAATATGTTCCAAATGTGATGGATAAAAGGATAATCGGAACAAATTTGAGTGAAATTGACTGAGTTTAGCAGATTTGAGGTCTTGGGTCTGAGATTTTCGGCTATGGCCAAAATTTTTGGTTGCAAGGTGATGAAGATGATCGGTTTGCATGGAGAACCATATTTATATTAAGGGCCACCATCTGGACGGTGGGACTGCCGTCCGGACGGTCCAATGTTATTGGTTTTGGGTTTTGTATACTGCAGGCTACTTTATTTTCTGCAATTTTCGTTTGTTCTTCAAATTCCTGCAAAATAAAAAATACAATATATATATATTCTACACAATTTTGCTAATCACTCTTTTTTCTTGTCAAAAAAATTGGTGGGTTTTTAATTTTTATTTGTTGTTGAATATTTACTAATTTTTTAATCAATTTATAGTTATTTACATTTATGTACAT